AAAGGGTGTGCCCCCCCCCCCCCCCCAGTTTTTTTTTTTTTTTTTTTTTAAACAGCACCTGTCTCTAATATTTTCCTGGTTACTTACAGGCGGTGTCCAGCTGGGTGGGCTCAGGGTGTGGGTCATCTCCACCTTACTCCAGGGGTGGGGATGAGAATAACTTGGTCCACTCTCCAGCCCTCCCTAGGCTACAGAGCTCAGAGGAGCTGGACGATTTTTTCTGGGCTGGCACAGGGCACCCAGGTGAGCACACAGTTAGGAGTCAAGAAAGTAGGCTGGCTGCCAGCTGGCCATCTTAGCTGTGTTTAGAGAGAGATTCCTTGCAGAGGGACTTGATGGTGTCACTGCAGGGCTGCCAGACAGTGGAACAGACTTCTGCATGCTCATCTGTGTACCGCGAGGCCTGGACTAGACACAGACTTCATCCACTGAGTGCCTCACAAACCAGTCGCTGACCATGATCTGACAAAGGATGCCCTGCACATCGATGGACGAGGCCACTTCTCAATTATGCCCATTAATAGTGTGGTGTTTCTGAACAACAATTTTATCAACTGTATCATGATCATCTAAAGTTACAAAAGCAAATCCTCTCTTTTTTCCACTCTGCCTGTCTTCCATAACTTCTATGGTTTCGATCTTTCCATACTTCTCAAAGTAGTCTCTCAAATTATATTCTTCTGTATCTTCTTTAATACCAGCAACAAAAATTTTCTTCACTGTCAAATGGGCACCAGGCTTTGCAGAATCCTCTAGAAACAGGTCTGTTCGGTTCCACTCTGCGCCTTGTGTGAGCACACACTGCTGCATCCACCTCTTCAACACAAGAGTAAGTCACAAAACCAAAGCCCCTGGAACGTTTTGTTTGGGGGTCTCGCATTACCACACGATCTGTAAGTGTGCCCCATTTCTCAAAGTGTTCTCTTAAACTATCATCTGTAGTTTCAAAGCTCAGACCACCAATAAACAGCGTCCTCAACTGCTCTGGTTCCTTTGGATCATGGCCCTCCATTTTGAGACCGGACTCGCCTCTTCCAACTCGAGTTCAATATGGGCCACGTGGTGCACTTTTATGCAGGCAAAACACTCATACACATAAATTAAAAATAAATATGCCAGGCATGGTGGTGCATGCCTTTAATCCCAGCACTCAGGAGGCAGAGGCAGGTGGATCTCTGTGAGTTTGAGGCCAACCTGGTCTACATAATGAGTTCCAGGACAGCTGGGGCTACAGGAAGACCCTGTCTCAAAAAAAGACCATAAATAAATAAATAAATACATAAATAAAATAAAATCTTAAGTACTTAAACGTCAAGGATTTGTGGCATAGGGATTCCTAGACACTTCTTTTGGGATCTGCAGATCATCTTGGGCACAGAAACACTCTGGTTCTGTAGCTTGGGGAACCGTGAAGCCTTCACTGAAGCTTCCCTTCCTAACCAAGCCCTGTAACTCATCACAGCCTTCTAGAATTTCTTTAGTAATTCACTTGTCATTCAGGAAACACATTGATCCTAGGACCCTGGCATCTCAGATACTGGGGTTTATGATGTCTAGGACACCCCAGTTTCCATCCGTGTGCTACTCTCTCAGTGTGGAGAAACCCACTAAAGGCTTATTCTGATGTGGCTGCACACTGTCATCAAGGGTGCTGGGGCTTCCTTGCCTCCCTGGTTAGTTGTGTGATTATGTCACTGTTTAATGAGTTTGGGGGTGGGGGAGGGCTCGAGTAGTTTATCACTGTAAACAGTTCAAATAAAATACAAATAGCTCTGAGGATGAAGCTCAGTGGTAGATGACTTGCTTAGCATGCACAAGGGCCTGGATTCCATCTCCAGCACTACAAAAATAAATGAATGAATGGATGGATGAATGAATGAATGAATGAATGGGGGCTTCATAAGAAGACTTTGTCAGCAAAATTATTTTGGGATCAGAAAAGGCTGTCTACCCTTTGAAATCATGAGGGCCCAGCATCCTCTATCCCCTAACAGAGTTAGGCCACAAAGGGGTAGAGGACCTGTGGGATCCTGCCTATCTATGGCTTGAGGCCCATGGGATCTGAGGAGGGAGAGAAGCTAGCCTGGGGTTTGGTCCCCGGGGTCACCTGTGACTAGCCAGGGCAAGGTAGTTCTGCTTGCAGGAGGTGCTGAGCCAGACCTGGAGGGCTTGTCTGGGGAGACTGGCCTCATGAAACTTCCTGGTGAACCTTGGTCCAGCCATGCCAGGAAGGAGCTTTTTCTTGTAGTGGCCTTATGGAACCCAGTGTTGGGTATCTGTCACCATCACTGTTCTCCAGGAAAACTCCGGACTGGGGTGAAATCAGCAAGGTTATAGTCACTTGGAGTCCTGTAGGATGGGCACAGTGTTGTTGTCTGGCTGGCCTGGATGCCCTTGTTCAGCCAGATGGACCTGACACACTCTTCCAGGCCTCCCTGCCAGGGCCTCTGTCTTTGCTTTCTGGAGTGTTGCTGAGCTGGTCAGTGACAGAGGGTCCTGTCAGAGTGGAGCTGCAGGAGGCCTGGGCTGGAGCACCCATGGGTCCCAGGGCCTCTTTGGGTGTTAGTAACAAGGAATTCCCCCATGGATGGTCTTGTGTTTCTAGGGATGTCTGTCTCTTGGAATTACCTTGTTCACTTTGGGTTTTTGGGTCTTTGTTGTACATGTCATGAGAACCCTTGATGAAGGCTGGCTCCTAACTAGGAGCACAAAGTACCCTTCAGCAGAGTGAGCTTTCACTCATGACAGACTCTCTCTGTTTCTCTTTCCCTGTCACTCTCTCGCTCTCTCATTCTCGCTATAGCTCTCTCTCTGTGTGTGTGTGTGTGTGTGTGTGTGTGTGTGTGTGTGTGTGTTGGGTGTTTGACGAAGGACTGGCTCAGTCTGATTTTGATAAAATATTCTTTTCCAATTCTTGTTTCAGACTCTGCTAATACCACTGGGACAGAGTCAAGTCCTGACTGTTGGAATGCCCAACCATCTTGGTCCCTAGGTGAGTAACAAAACCTACCTGACAATGAGGATTCCCCTAGGAGACTGACCCTGTGATCAGCAGCTGGGTCTGTTCTGTTCATCCACCATCAGGAAGCAAGAGGAGGGCCATGCTGGTGCTCAGCGTGCTCTCTCCTTTTTATTCAGCCTGGAAACCCCAGCACAGGGGATGGATTCACCCACATTCAGGGTGGGTCTTCCAGCCTCAGTTAAAGGTCTCTGACAGACACACCCAGAGGTGTGTTTTTATATGATTCTGAATCCAGTCAAGTTGACAAAGAAGATGAACCCTCACCACACCTCGGTCAGCATCCATTTCCCCAGGCAGGACAGGAGGGAGCTGGGGTCCAGGAGCTACCTGAGAGACTGGGTCCCAGCTTGAGACACCCCATCTCCCCCAAAGTCCTCTGGCAGCCTTGTGTTCAGGAGTGTGCATTAAGTCTTTCAAGGTAGCCTGCCTCCCTCCAGGTCTCTTAAGGAGCGGCTGGCCCCTGCTTCTCTTCTGTTCCCTCAGTTATACCTTACACCTGGTGGCAGGGAAACCTAGGGAGGTGGCAACTCAGGTAGGGCTGGAAGGACAAAGTGGGCTGTGTTGGGGGCTGTGTTGGGGACAGCAGAAGCACCCTGAGTTTGTCTGGGGCTCAGGAGCACTGGTGTGCAAAGGCCCTGATGCACATACTTGTGAAGCAGGTGTGTCATTGTGTCTCAACTGCCCTGGGAGGTCTTTGGCGCCCTTCTGTCACAGATGAGGACAGTGAGGCATGGTGAGGTGAAGGCAGGATGCCTAGCTACTTGCTCAGGGCTATCTCTAGCCCTGTCTAAACTTCCTCTCAGCCACTGTGATGGGGGTCACCCATTTCACAGGTACGGCTTGGCCTTCAGCTGGTCCCTCACTTCTGCTTATGTCCTCTTCTGAGAGGGAGGAAGCTGCCCCTTTCCCCTGGCAGGCCTGAATACCTGGAGCTGAATATGGCATGCTCCTGTGTGAGGTGGCATGCCGTATACCTAAAGAATGGGTAGCTGGCTAGGACAAGGGTACATGCTGACTCCTGGTTTCACTGTGAGAGGGACCAGCAGCTTGAGAGGGGCAGGCCTTTGTGACTACCAGCAAATTTATAGTGGTATTAAGCTGTAACTGGGTATCCCCAGGCAGGGGTCCTGGCACCCCAGGAAGGCTCAGGCTCAAGGCACAAGCAGTTCTTGTGCTTCTTTACTTTGTGGTGTAGAACAGAAAAGAACAGGATCTGAAAAGGAAGGAGAGAAAGAGGGATCCTTACTGTCTGACTGGTTGGGACCAACCCCATCCTAGACCCCCCAAGTCTACTTCCTGATAGATCAAGTTGTGGAAACAGGTGAGAGAAGAGCCAGTCACTCAGACCCCTTGCCATTAATGACCGATCCTAGAGGCTCTGACTAAAGGTTTGTGTAAACACATCTGCGTTCAGCAATCTTCAGCACATGGCTTTTGTCATAACCTGAAGGATACTCAAGTCTGTCAGTCTTATACAGAAGCCAGGTTGAGCTGGTGAGCTGTTTGCATGGCCCCAGCCCTCTAGTTGTCAGTTCAGGCCCCTATCCTGCTGAGGGATCTCACATCGAAAATACAGTAGTCGCCTTATCTGTGGTTTCACTGTGTGTAGGTTTAGTTCAGTAAGAACATAGAGTACTGTACCATGAGCGAGAGAGCGCTCACACAGATCATTACAATAAGTTGTTAAAATTTGCCTCTTATTACTAGCTATTGTTGATCTCTTATTGTGCCTAATTTAAAAAGAAACACTGCCCTAGACTTCTGTGTACAGGAAAAAACATGGTGGAAGTAGGCGGTCTGTATTCGCCACGATGTCAAGTTACCCACCGAAGGTCTTGGAGTGTAGCCCCTGAGGATACATGGTGAACCCCTATAGTGTGCATATAAAAGACCATTTAGAAAAGAAATACTTAGCAATAGTAAGCCTATATTGTAGGATTTGCACTGAGGTGGAAAGTGAAATAACTTCAGGGATCTTTCCCAGCCTGAAGTGGCCCATACAAGCTGCTTTGGCTTTCGTGGGTCCTCAGCGGGGACAAAGTAGGTATTGTCCTTGTTGCCCATGGGGGCCTGTCTCTATAATGTCATGGTGGAAATCTAGCCAAGAATTGAAGGGTAGCTAGCCTCTGAGGGAAGCTGCTGTGTCCATGTAGGGAAGGCAGCAGCCATGAGGTTCTGGGAGATCTGGCTAATAAATGTGGTTTGACAGTGCTGGGGTACCCCTCAGACCCACTGGAAAAATAGGGCACATGACGGGCGAGTTTCAGGATGGGAGAGACTGGGTTTACCTGGTGGCAGGATATAAGGCTGTGCCTGGCCTGCGATTCTGCTCTTAGCTCCAGACTCTTCCTCTTGAACGTGCTGACCGGTACCTACTTAGTGAAGTGCTTTGAGTTGTATTGCCCCTTTGAGGCTGCTTGAGCTATAACTTTTTCTTTTTTTTTTTTTTGTGGACATACTGGCTTGTCACAGCCTTGCAGACTTTTTTCTTTTAAGATTTATTTATTTATTGAAGAGGCTTTGGAGCCCCACTGAGCCCTCTCTCCAGCCCAAGAAATTTTTTACCTGAGATAGAAAAAAGAATTCTCAGAGATACTAGCAGACAGCCTGAGAGGGTGGGTTCAGACCTCCATTGGGGTAGCGGCTTGGAACTCAGCAGACCTCCAGAGAGTACTGGGATCTGGCCTCCCTCTGGCCTCCAACTACCAGAGGGCCTGAGAACCCAGGGGACTGCCTGATAGCCCCTGGATCCTGCCTTCATGTGGTGGTGACCTTCTCCTAATTGTGCCATACCATCCCCCTACCTGGGATTTTGTGAGGCCCCTCCCAAGGCCCCAGAGCAGATCTGGCTTTGATAGGCTAAGGCTGAGATCCTAGCAGACAGCCTGAGAAGGTGGGCTCAGACCTCCATCTGTGGAGCAGCTTGGATCTCAGCAGACCACCAGAGAGCACAAAGATCTGGCCCCCCTCGGCCTCCCTCTGGCATGGGGTTGACAACGCACAGCACTGCCTGAGAGAGCCTGGATCCTGCCTCTGCATCGTGAAGGAAGCCTGAGTATGCTTGACTGGAACCTGAATTGGGCTTCTGTGGGTACTCCTGAATAGCTGATCTGAACCCATCAGTTCCCTCCAAAATAAACCTGAGAGAACCTGAACCCTGTACCAACCAGCATTACATAACCAATAAAGAAAGGATCTAGGCACCCAGATAATACAAACAGAAGCATACTTCAACTTAATTTTCATATCAGAATCATAAACAAAAGAAATTCACATGCCAAAATGACAACGAAAGAATAATAAAATGGAAAGACAAAACACTATGTCCCCACCAAACCCCACCAATCCTGTAGAAAAGTTCATTCTTCAATGATAAAATGTAATTTTAGAGTGCTAGAAGAATTTCCTGTAAAGTGTTTCAGCAGTCCAATTTTTTTAATGTTAAACTTCAAAATTAAGACATTTGGGGCTGAAGAGATGGTTCAGTGATTACCATGTGCTGCTCTTCCAGAGGACCCAAGTTAGGTTCCCAGCACCCACACTGGACAGTTTGCAACTACCAGCAGCTCCATCTCTAAGGGCTCTGATGCCCTTTTTGGTACTCACACACACACATACCCACATACTAATACACATATAGGCATAATTTAAAAACAATTTTAAAAATTAATCTTTATGCCGGGCGTGGTGACATACGCCTTTAATCCCAGCACTCGGGAGGCAGAGGCAGGTGGATCTCTGTGAGTTCAAGGCCAGCCTGGTCTACATAGTGAGTTCCAGGACAGCTGGGGCTACAGGGAGACCCTGTCTCAAAAAGACCAAAATAAAAAAAAACCCAAAACACAGGAATGGACTATGCAAGAGATGTGGGACACCTAAATCTATGGATCATAGGAGTAGAGGAAGGAGAAGAATTTCAGGTTAATGATGTTGACCAGATCTTAAACAGACTTGTAGAAGAGAATTTCCCAAAACTAAGGAAAGATATCCCCCATACAAATATAGGAAGCATATAGCACACCAAATAGACAGGATCAGAAAAGAAACTCCCCATGACATATCATAGTAAAAACACTAAATATACAGAACAGAGAGACAATACTGACAGCAGCAAAAGAAAAACAACAAATCACATACAAAGGAAAGCCCAGCAGAATTACAGCTGACTTATCAATGCAAACTATGAAAGCCAGAAGAGCCTGGACCAAGGTATTTCCAGTTCTACATGACAGTGGATGCCAACCCAGAATACTATACCCAGAAAAAATGTCTATTCTAGTTGAGGGGGAAAGAAAAATCTTCCATGATACAAATACACTGAAAGAATTCATGTCCGCCAAACCAACCATACAGAGAATACTCAACACAAAGGATTGAAGAAAGAAATTACCATATCCAAATATTACAGAAAGAAAACAATGAAATTAAGAAGTACAGAAACACAAAAAATGTCTAAGAACACAAACAGAAAATAAAATGACAACAACCAATCCACAC